ATAAAATCTACTTTATATGTAAACTTGGCTGGGCTATGCTTCTCACTGGTTTGGCAACTAAGTAAAGAAATCTAGCCGTTTGTAGTGATGACATTTGGCAGTTAGGTTATGATATAATGTGAGTTACATAATGCTCTACCTTGACAGTTATGTAACAAAGCAGTCACTCTCAATTTTATAATAAGACGTGGTTATGCTTCATTTTCTAATTAACATCTGGTGTAACAATCTGGTCTTTTTCACCTAACAGCATTGAGCAGCGCCCACAAACTCATAGCCATCGAGTCAATTTTGACTCTTAGCACCCCTGGAGGACAGAGGAGAATGCTCTATTGTTTCCACAGGGGTAAGTCTTTACAGAAGTAAATTGACACATATCTCTCTCAGATAGAGAGAAGTTTAAAGGCTGTCCTTTTGGTTAGCAGGCAAACGTGTTATCTGCCAGAGCTCTTTGATTAGTAAGTGAAGAATGGGTGTATTATTTTTCAAATGAAAAAGATTATCTTATTCCAATACTTTTTCTTTTATTCCAAGGTAAGATAATAGAAAAGAAAAGTTTGGTGGGTTGAAATAGAAGAACTCAAGTCTTACATAACTCCGTGGCATTTGACCATTTGCTATCCCTGATATCTTAGCATAATATACTAATGGCACATGTAATTCACAGATTCTGGAGGGTCCACTATGAGTTGATTTCAACTTGGCAGCAATGAGTATGTGAGTAACACATCTCTCATGAATGAGATTGTTTTATTTGCAAAGATCTTACTTTGGAGGGGGAAAAAAGAGACATCTTTTTGTATGTTGTTGTTGTGTGCTGTTGAGTAAGAACTGACCCATTGCTAATCCTCTGGTGGATTTTCAGAAGCAGTTCATTTCACGGGAGGAGATTTCCCATCTTTCTCCTGTGGAGCAGATGGGGGATTCGAATCCAGGCCACCAGAGCTTGATTGTTATTATTGTTAGGTGTATTAAGCTGACTCTGACTCATAGTCACCCTAAGAACAACAGATAAAAGCCTTGCTGTTTTTCTTTAATCTTGGTCTACTATTTAAAATTCACATTTGCTTTGTATCACCATATTGTCCTAATTTATGCTAGAGAGTTTGTAGATAGCAGAGGTTGGACTGGAATTCAGTTGTTTCATGTAGGTAATGCATGTCTGGAAGTATCAAGTTATATGAACTGGTCTTGCAGAAATCTGGTCTGAGAAATTCACAAGGAGTAGGAATTCTTAGGGGAAGTGGTGAGATTGTTCTTATCTCTGAGACCTTCAAATGCCAGACTCTTGGAGAAGAAGTCAGTGAGAATTTGTCATGACTCAAACTAATGGAATGTTCAAAGGCTCCATCTGTCATCTTGCTATATATAGTCCTTAACTCATTCTACCTTTTTTAAAAAAGTAGTTCCTCCCCCCCCCCCATTTATAGTTTCATGGGCATTCATATGTCTACGCCAATACTTAGGACAGGCACATAGAATAGTGATGACCAACAAGAGAGAACAGTAGTAAACTTAGAATGATTCAAGACTCGATATGCTCTTTGTATGTAACAGAGTTGATTCTGATTCATAATGACCCTGTAGGCCAGAGTAGAGCAATTCGGTAAGGTTTTCTAGGCTGTAAGAGCATTCATTAGTTTCTTTTTAAAATTATTTATTTTAGTTCTTTTTTTCCCCCCTTTCAGCTGTTAGATAGGTTTGAATTGCCACCTTTCCAGGTAGCAGTTGAGTACTTAACCATTGGACCACCAGAGATATTTTTTATAACCATAGTCATAAACTAATAATTTTGCAAAAGAGGTCACTTCTAGAGACTTGCCCTTCATTCCAGTTCTGGAGACAAGTCAGCAAGATACCGAGTCTTATCACAGTCCAGCCTCACCTTGTGCTTAAGAAACGCTGGTGGCATGGCATTCCATTCCGTCCAGTGATAAGAGGTTGCATATCTTGCACCGTCAATACACACATGCATATCTTTTTTTTAACCTTTCATATTTTTTTAAAACAAATGTTTAGTAGCACCTTGTCACTTTTTCTCATTTGTTGCTTCCAAGTGATTAAAGGATGAGGGTAAGATAGAACAGGTAGCTTTGGGCATGACAGCAAAGGATGGTACTGGAATTACAGCACTGCTTTCAGAGGATTGTTCCCTCTGTTCTTTCAATCTTTTCTTCCACTACAGAAAATGTTGATCTAAGGAGTTACTGTTCACCAACCCACCTGACCGTTGTTGTTCTTAGGTACTGGTGAGTCAGAGCCAACATACTTAGAGACTCGGGTGGAAACGGCACCCTTTAGTACCATCAGCACTCAGATCCCTGCCTCATGCCTGTGCTACTTGCTCCATGCAGGCTGGGAAGAAGAGAATCTTTGCTTGTTTATTACCTTGAAAAATTAAATCCTTAACTGAACGAAATCCTTTACTCAGTTTTCAAAGTCACTTGTACAGTTCAACAACGGGGACTGCTGGCAAAACAGCACCCGAGAACAGGTTCCCAGGGTTGGTCCTGGGCTGGGTGAAAATGCATGTACTTTGCTTTCTCATGCTCCACTTTCTATCATGCTTCTGTCAGTTATTTATTGAGCCATTATTGTGTGTTGTGCTCCAAGGGATGGCTTTGTTCTCACTGATACTCTGTCCTGCTCACCCACTTTGGGCCCTGTTTTCTCCTCCTTTTGCTGTTAGTGGTTTTTAAACTCAAGGTTCCTTTCTTTTCTTCTGACAAAGATCCTGATGGCTTAAGCTGTGGGACATTGTGCCAGTAACCCAAGACCTCTAGCAGTCTACACCCATGAGGTCCTGAAGGGCAATTTACACCAGTGGGATTTTGCTTCAGCAACCCAATGGACAGTCTCATATGAATGGATTCCAACTCAAAGGCAATGAGAAAGACAATTAAAAAGAAAAATCTAGGGCAGTTCTGGTGGCCTAGTGGTAAGTAGCTGCGCTGCAATCCCCAAGGCACATGCTTTGAATCTACCAGCTGCTCTGAAAGAGAAAGATGGACAATCACCTCCCATGTGATTTACTGTCTCTGAAAACCCACTGGAGGGTCAGCTAGGGGTGGGCTCGGAATTAATAGCACATAACAACAACAACTAAGATTACTCAGAATTTTCCTTATCTTGGAGGGATTGCATTTTAACTTAAAATAATTTACAATGATACTTGTAATAGTGATGAGGAAGGCCTTCTATAATTATCTCTAGGGAGCCCTTCTACACAGGCAGTTTTCACTGTCTCTGCTGTGAAAGGGGAGGAGGCATCCGATCCCAGTCTGGAAGAAAGTACTATCCTGATCTTAACACTGAGTGGAGGATCTCTATGACCATATCGGAAAAAAACTGCCCTTGATTGGTAAATGTAAGATCAGTGATTTAAAGCCATCCAGTGGTGTTTAAAAGAGAATTATGGCAATCTGCTACTGAACAATTAGGCATTAACAAACTTATGGGACACATATCCCACTATGTTCTAATATTCTAATCTGGCACACATGATGTTGCCATGAATAACAATCAACTCGATGCCATTTGGTCTCATGAACAATGTAAAGAGAGAAAATATTTTTTCTATTTTCTTTAAATCTTAGAAAAATTCCATGTGAGGCACATATTAATTCTATATTATATATGTTACCAGGAGGGACCAGTCCTTAGAGTAGGACATCACGCCCGGAAGGGTAAAAGACTCAGCACAGGAGAGGAAGAACCTGGATGAGATGGATTGACACAATGACCGTGACCACGGGGTCAGGTGTCAGAGACGGTGAGGTTGGCTCAGGATAGGTCAAGTTTCCAAATTGTTGTTGTTAGGGTCTCTATGAGTCAGAGCCAACAGTACACAACAACAGCGTATGTATTTTAGGAACCCCGATGGTGCTATGGTTAAGTGCTTGGGTGCTAAGGGATCTCTTTGTGCTTTGACTCCACCAGATAGTTTACAAGCCAAAGAGACTAGCGTTGGAAACCTTGGGCCATTCTGTTCACAGAAACTGTCTCATAGAGTAGGTTGAAATCATCTTTTGTTTGTTTTTTTCATGAAGTTTTCAGAGAAGACAATGGAAGCATGTGGAGATAAATGTAACAGGAGTTGATTCTTTCCAAAGGAGAAAAACTGCTGAGGCTTACGGGGGGCGGGGGGCTGGGGGAGATATGTTTTGAATTAATTTTGGGGAGATAAAAATATGTAGGAAACAAGTAATTTGGGAATGCCTAATAAATATAGTAGAAATACTTGTCTCAAAGGGGATATTTCATTGCCATCTCCTTATTGATAAACCTATAGAGTTTCAAAGAAGAGATTCTAAAAACTCTTCCTTAATTAGATTTTTAGTACATAACAAATGAAGTTTTTTTAAAATTCAGTTTATTGAAGATTCTGAAAGCAGAGTAGTGAGTTAAGGATCAGATGATTAGATTAATATAGCTCATTAGAGTTTCCTCAGGGAAATCCATCACTTTCTGTAACTCAACTGCACGCCCAGTGTTCCACCATGATCATGCAATTCAAAATTATTTCCACAGTAAACTTAACTCTAGAATGCCAGAAATGAGAATTGAGAGATGTGAAATAAAAACCTGGACAATGTCCTTGAAGAGTTTAAGTTCACAGCAATGTTTTGATTAAAGACACCTGTTTTAAATGGGGAATCGTATTTTTATTTCTTAGATTACCTCATAGTCATTTGGCAGAAATCCATAATAAAAACTGAAAACTAAACCAAGTATAGAGATGGATAGTTAAATTCCTCCTGATGATAGCATATTTGTCTTTTAATAAGATTTTTGCCTAGACATGCTTTCTTTTCCCCCTCTCTTTTACTTGAGAAGGCCTGAGTAATGTAAATTAACCTCTGACAGAAAAAGCAAATAAGTGGTTTCTTATCAGAAACGTGCTCCGTTTTTATATTTCCTATTCTTTTTTTTCGCTTGGAAGACTTTGACATAATTTAATGGAAATACAATGTGACTATCATTAACTCCAAAATTCATACCTGTGGTTCTGACTCTAAGTTGATTTTGAAAGGATGAGCTTTTCCATCTTCAGAGACCTGTGGTGACCATAAACGAGTTTCTGCCCTGTGAATAAAATAAAGCTATTAACTTCAGATTCTAGTGGTATGTATAGTTTTACTATAATTTTCCCTTCTTTGAAACTATTAACACCCATTGGTAGTTTAAACAAAACCAATGTTCTGCCTCCATTATTCTGTATTCTCTCATCCAACGGTTGTTGGGTGCCATCAAGTCAGTACTGACTCACAACTGACCCTCCAGCAGGTTTTCAAAGGCAGTAAATCATACGGGAGGTGATTGCCCATCGTTCTCCAGAGGAGTAGCTGGTGGGTTTGAACCATGTGCTTTTGAGACTGCAGTGCAATTTCTTACCAGTGGGCCACCACAGCTCACTCTCACCTAATTAGTCTAAATTGGATTAAGTGTTTGGGTTTTTAAAAAAATTTGTTATTTTAATGAAAGTTTACAGAAAAGTTGGATTTTCATTCATTCATTATTACCATTTCCCTCAATACCCTCTCCAGTTCACTTTTTTAAAAAAAGAAAATATTAATTCATTGTTGCATAAACTTGGTTTTGTGGGGTTGGTATTGTGTTTTGTTGTTATTGTTGTTTTTTCTCTTCACTGAACCAAAATTGCTTGAAGGACGCTGCCATTTTGGAGAAAGCAGTTCTCCACTGCACATGAGAAACCACACCAGGCTCACCCTGCAGATAGACAAAGTAAACTCGGTCAGTTTTCACTATTCCCCTGCCATCCTTCTTGGGTCACCCTAGGAGTTAGGGAGTCATTTGCCACTGATGTTGAGGGAAAGCCCTCTGTGTTTGGGACTGTGATAGTTCAAAGAGACAACATGCTTGGCAAAAACACAAGTTAAACACTGTCTCACACATGACATGTCCAGTTGGTTGAGTGATTGTGCCTTCTGCAGGGGAAACTGGGATCAATATAACTACAAATGTTGTGGTGGTGATGTGCTGTAGAGTCAGAACTGACTTGTAGCTAACCCTCCTGTGGGTTTTCAGAATCAGTTAATCACATGGTAAGTGGTTGTCTGTCTCTCATGAAACAGCTCGTGGACTTGAACCACATACCTTTAGGTTGCCAGTGCAGATCTTTATCACTAGTCTGACAGAGTTCATTACAGTGATAGGATAAATAGATATTAACAACCAGTACAGCAAATCAAGGAGCTCTGGTGCCCTAGGGGTAAGTAGTTTTATTGCCAATCTTGTGGCTGGAACCCAACAGCCACTCTGAGGTGGGAAGAGAGGTAGTCCCTTCCTGGGTTTACAACCTCTAAAACCCCAGCTGTGGTCAGCTATGAGTCAGTTCCAACTTGATGGTTCACAACAATAGAGCAAATTAGTTTCATGACTCAGTTTCAGTGATCAAGGTTCTTAGGGAAAAAGATCAGACACTCTTTTCTGACATTCTAGTGATCCAGAAAATCTCCAGTGTCTAATGAATTCATGTGCATAAGCACATTCACATCTTATAAGATTCATCTAGGCTGAATTCTGCATAAAATAGCCAACGGAATACAGAATATTAGCATGACGATCATAAGAGAAATTCTAAGTTACATTCCACTCTGTACCACATTTTAAATGGTAGCACAACTAGCCATGCTTGACAGTGTCTTGGTGGTCAATACCTTCCATGGTTCTAATTTTGTAGTCAACAGACTGGGTTGTTGTTGTTTTTGTTAAGTGCCGTCGAATAGTAGGCGACTCATAGAGACACTATGAATGAAAGTCCTCAACACTTGTGTGGCTTTCATCCTGCCTCCAGGTTCATAGGGTTTCCAGAGGCAAGGTATTATGTAAGTGGATGCCACTCCTGCTTCCAAGCTTGTTTTAATCAGGGAGCGCCACCAAACACTGTCTGCCATGGATAACCATTATCACATTTGACACATCAGTGTCATAGTGTTCAGCTTCGCAGCAACCACAAGTTACCTCTGTATGGCAAGTGGACACACCAGGACTATATGACCTAGAAGGATGTTTGAACAAAAACAATTAAAAACAGGCCTGAGGGCTGTGGCTTAGAAGTCACCCACCTTCGGCTTGGTAGCATCACTTTCTCTCCGTTAGGCCAACTGATCTCTCTCTATATTGGTGTTATGGGTTCCTATAGGAAATAAAACACGCGTGTGTGTGTGTGTGTGTGTGTGTGTGTGTATGTGTGTCTTAGCCCTTTCCTAATTTTTATTTTCCAGAGAAGTCCTTTCAGAAATAGAATCTCAATAACTACTAGACTGACAGACTTCAGTGAAAAACAAAGTACAAGAAACCTCAAAACCCTCAAAATTTGACTGTTGTCAGTGAAGTTTTATGAGTCATAGCCAACTCATAGTTGACTTTCCAGTGGGTATTCAGAGGCTGTAATTTACATAGGAGGGGAAATGTCCACTTTTCTCCAGATATCAAATTCTAGGTCTTATGATGCTCCAACATCTTGGGAAGATGAAACCACTTATAGGTGAGGTTCTTCTGTGAAATACATCAAATTGCAACACTATCAATCAAAGAGCACCTGTCAATTTTGAGGCACAGCTGATGTGCAGCTGCTTTAATCCTGTCCTGCGCATCACCGTGAGTCATGGACTCCGTGTCGAAACCGTCAATAGCCAGGATGACATCGCCAGGACACAGGTTGGCAGCTGCCGCCTTGCTCCCTGGGGTGATCTGGAAGAAATCATGGCATCACTTAATAACCAACCAGTTTTAGTATCTACAGTGTTGGGCCCTATATCTGTAATTCACTCAGAATAACTCTCAACTGATAAATTGTGTTTAAATCACTATATTAAATAATTTGGGTTTTGCCAGGCCATGGTCTTCATAATTTCTTGCTATACATCAGAGAGCTGGACAATAACTAAAGATGACAGAAGAATTTATGCCTTTGACTTAAAGTTCCGGAGAAGAGTCTTGAACATGCCATGAACTGCCAAGAAAACAAATAGGTCTATTTCTCCGTGGAGTTTAGGATTTTGAAGCACTGTCTCACATACTTTGGTCATATGGCCAGGAGGAACCAATCCTTGGAGAAGGATATCATGCTCCGAAGGGTGGAGGGACAGTGTGGGAGAGAAAGACCCCGGATGAGATGGACTAATATTGTAACTAGGGAAAAGGGGGTACGTGTGCTGGAATCAGTGAGACTATCTCAGGACAGGGCAGGAGTCAGAGCTATTGTACATAGGGTCACTGTGAGTTGCAGGTGGTTTGACAGTACATAATAATAACAACAACATTTGTTATGTAATGACATCTCTCTTTTTAAAACAACTTCCATAACTCCAGGATGAAATAGTATTTTCTTTGTTTAAGTGAAATAAGTTTTTGTTCTTTGGTTTTTTAAAAAATTCAGGAGTGGAGTTTTACTATATTTAAGTAACTGACATATTTAAATTGAAACTTCTTTAATATCCTTATAATTTTTCATCTTTCAACTCCCATGAGGGTCCCCTTTGGATATAGAAAGCCTGAAAGACCATTAGTTTTATACCAACAACATGAAGCCAGATGATCTATAAAGGTATTACATGTTTCCTTGAACCCTTCAGAGGCAGAGCAACCATTAGCTTGCAATCTAAGGACAGACAGAAACCTGCAAATATAAAACATGGACATAGGCTCATCTATAATACATCACAGTAGGAAGATGGGGCCATCACATCTGTTAAGAATGATTTACTGAAGACCAAAGAATGAATTGGCATAAGAGTGCTGGAAGCACAGACACAAGAAATTTACATTTCCCTGTAGTCTCTTCTCCATGATTGGGGAACAGATGAGACAAATAGAAAACAACTAGCAAGAGGATTTTTGCTTTGTTTTGTATACCATTGAGTCAGAACCAACCCACAGCCGACCCTCAAGCAAGTTTTCAGAGGCAGTTAATTGCACAGGAGGAGATTGCCCATCCTTCTCCCAAGCAGCTGGCAGATTAGAGCTACCTGCTTTGGGGATTGCAGTGTAGATTATTGTCACCAGAGACCAGCATCAGAATCACCGGTACAGCATACAGCAGTCAAAGGAATCACTGCTTTCCCCTCAATACTCAAAGCAGTAATAATTTAAGATTCCTACTTTAAATATTTTTTTTTAAAACCCGAACATTTCCCCCATATAAATCTCATGTATACACAGGGTTTTCAGAGGCCTTCTATTTCAGAAGTGGATGGCCAATCCTTCTTCCTAGTCTGTTCCTAGAGTGTACACAGCTTTAGTTTGCTTGGATCCACAGTCAACACACTTGGCACCAGTAGCCAGGAAATTAAAAGGCATATTGCCATGGGAAAGCCTGCTGTTAGGGACCTCTCCAAAGTACTACAGAGCAATGGTATCTCTCTGGAGACTAAGGTGCGTCTGATACAGGCCATGGTCTTTGCAATCACTTGTTATGCATCAGAGTTGGACAGTGACTAGGGAGGATAGAAGGAGAATTGATGCCTTTGAGCTGTGGTGCTGGAGAAGAGTATTGAGGGTACCATGGATTTCTAAGAAAACAAACAGATTCATCCTGGAAAGGGTTAAACCGGGTGGCTCCTTGGAGGCAAGGATTCTGAGGCTCCGTCTAACATACTTTGGACATGTTGTGAGGAGAGACCGGTCCTTGGAGAAGGACATCATGCTTGGGAGGGTGGAGGGACAGCGCAGGAAGGGAAGGCCCGCTATGAGGTGGATTGATTCGGTGACTGGGATAATTGGGATGGGAGTGTCAGAGACAGTGTGATTGGCACAGGACAGAGCAGAGTTTAGGGCTGCTGTACATAGGGTCGCTATGAGTTGCAAGTGACTCGACGGCACATAACAACAACAACAACAAATCTCATGTCCCCTAAAAAAATAAAAATAAAAGTGTTTCTTATAGAAAATGTATACATAAGCTTTGCTCTCTTGTTTTTACAATGATTGGTGTATTTAGTAATTTATGCTGAATATAATTACAGTATGGTTTTATTAAAATGTGTCCTCTTGCTGCTGTGTGCTGTAAAGGTGATTCTGACTCAGAGCTGCCCAATTAAATAGCTCAGATCTGCCCCATGGGGTTTTCTAGGCTACAATAGTTACAGGGGCAGATTGCCGAGTCTTTTCTCTCCATTTCCAAATTCCATGTGTAAATCTCAATTACTTACCTAGTAAGCCTCGCATGGTCTGAACTTGCCTTTACATAATTTTACACTACTCTTGGTGAAAAAAGCTGCATTGCAATCTTGAAGTCACATGGTTCTAATCCATCAGCTGCTTCACAGGAGAAAAATGGGCATTCTCCTCCTGTGTGATCAGCTGCCTCTGAAAACCCACCTGATGGTCAGCTATGGATTGGTTCCAACGCCATGGCACACAACACCACCACCCCCCTGTTTATTCATATTGTGCTGCAGCCATTATGATTTTTCATTAGTTTCTCCATAGGGCTAAAGAAACAAGTACCCTTCCGGGGAGCTCTCGATAGACTATTTTTTTCTGCCTCTTTTACTATCAGTTTCATTCCACTCATCACCTAATTGCTCCTTCTTATCATCTAGGCTCACACTTCATATTTTCAGGAGATTCTCCCGACCTTGAGAATGAGCGTCTCCAGTCCCTAACCCATCAATCTCCGCCCTTACAGCCTGCTCATTTCCTTGATGGAATTCACCACATGTGATATTTTTGTATTAATTTATTTACTTGTAAGTTGTCTGGTTCCTCAAGTAGACTTGAGGTCTGAAAAAATATTATGAGTATTTGTAATGCTTCCCAGCATTTGGGATCAATGACAATTGATTAAAAAGAATAAAAGGCCATTTAAACCACAGTTTATAAACCAGAAAGAGCTGGTTCCCATAAACAAAAGTATTATGACTGTTTCTGACAATCTATTATTTTATTTTTTGAAGTTTCTACTATTCACAGCGGAACACTATAGAGAGCTTTACTTAAACTCCTGTGATGAAATAATTTCTCATGTTTCATTTGAAAATGAGTCATTACTCTATTTTCACTCAGTATTTGTTTATTCTAGATCTCTTTTTTATTTAATTTGTGGCTCTAGAAGGAGATCCACATGCCATCTAAATAAATAATATAACTGAAATAATATATTCTCAGACATCTTAGGCCATCAGGCTCACCATGAAAATATGTAGTGCACACATTGTACTTTACCGTGTCACTGTAAGGACCACAATCAGTTTTCCAACAGGAATAGGTGATGGAAGTTGGGAGTAGCAATATTGGAGGGTTTTGCAGCTAAGTCTTTGGGAAACAGTTAATAGTATTCTCCATTTGAAATATTCTCCCCAACCCAAAAGTGTTAGAACAACACAATTTTCATCCTAAATATGATGTGTAGGAACCAATCTGTAACTCTTTTCTTTCCTCCAGCTAGAGTTTATCAAAATCAGTGCTTTCTGTTTCTGAACTTCTAAAACCAGAATGCTTTTCTTTGAGTTAAAACATGAGAAATGATGGCTCAATGTGTCAGTTTTTTTTTTTTTTGAGATTCAATACGTGAGCTTATTTATTTGCCACACATAGAAAATTCTATTTCTGACTGGATTCGGATTTGGAGGTAGAAGCTCTCAGAGAGGACAGCCTCCGTCTCTTGGCGATCTGCTCCTGGCGTTTGTCTTTGGCCTCCGTCATTCTCTTGGCCAAAAGCTTAGCGTACTCTGCAGCCTCCTCCTTATTTTTCTTAGTGCGCTGTTTCTTCAGCCAAATGCGCCGGCGCTTGTGCTGCAGGACGCGTGGAGTAACAAGACGATGAATCTTGGGCGCTTTGGTCCTGGGTTTCTTGCTTTCTTTGTTTAGTGGCTTTCTCACAACATATTGACGGACATCATCTTCTTTGGAGAGGTTGAAGAGTTTGCGAATTCTGCTGGCTCTCTTGGGCCCCAGGCGACGTGGCACAGTGGTATCAGTCAGTCCTGGGATATCCTTCTCCCCTTTCTTGACAATGACCAAGTTGAGAACACTCAGATTGGTATCCACAATGCAACCCCGGACAGATTTGCGCTTCCTCTCTCCGGTTCTCCGTGGTCTGTAACAAGAGTGCCCCTTACTCAGCAGCAGACGAACTCTGCCATGGGTCAAGACACCCTGCTTCATGGGGAAACCTTGCTTGTCGTTTCCACCGCTGATCCGGACAACATATCCCTTCCACTCTTCACCGAGGGCGTCCGCAGCAACTTCTGTGGCCATTCGCTTCTCATAAAACGTCCTAAGTTTGCGTTCATTGTCCACCTCAATGAGTTTCTGGCAGCCAGTGGCTGGGAAAGAGATGTTCAGCTTCATGGTGAAGCAGCCAACAGCTCCAGCAGCGCCACGAAAAAGAGCAATGTGTCAGTTTTTAAAGCATCACTTAGCTTTGCTGATACTCGTCAGTAAATTTTTAGATATATTACACTCAATCCTGACTAAGAAAAGTCCAACATTTTCCAGTCCTGCTTAGAATGAGTAGAGGGGAGGGTCGTGTGTGTAGGTGTTTATACAAATATTAAATAGAGAAAACCTTCCAAATTTCCCACAACCTAGGCTCAATAGAGCCTTAATGGTACTTCTTTCTGACTCAGTGTACTCAATTACACATTAATGAATTTGTTTATTAAATATTCATTTTTGTAATCACCGTGTACTCACTTCTACAAACATTCATTGAATATCCCTTTTTATTTGGAAATATGGGGTTAAAA